CCATTTCACATCGGCGTGAAATTGACTGAAGTCGAGATGCCTGGGGTCTGGATCGACTAAATTACAGCCTTGGATTTCAAAAAGAACGTGAACTGAAAGCTTGTATGGTGTTCCCGAAATCGGATTTTGCAATTATTTTTGAAAAGTGAAAAGCACGTTGTGTAATATATATGGATTCCCAGGGGAAGTATTTTGAAGGAGATTAACTTGCCATTGTTCGAAAAAGGCTTGGTTTTCAATGGATGGATACTTTCCAGACTAGCCACATAAATTTGAAACTCGTATTTGGAAAGAATGCTGGACAAAATTTTGTGATCAGATATGCAACTAAAAATGGAGCTTCGATTGAATTCAGGCGATAACAACAACAACAAAAAAAGATTCATACTTGTAATCACAATTCCGAGGCAAGCATTTGTAAAATTCGTATCAGGTGTGAGTGGCTACAAATCTACTTATCTTGTTTTAACAGTCACCTTAGAGGCTGGGTGGGGGGTCATTTTTAAAGGACATGTAACGAAGTGATTATAGACCCAACAATGTGATAAGTGGGTGTTACCTGGAGGCGACCTGTAATTTCAGGTAAGACACACTTCATTAAAATGCTACACAGGTGAGAGGTGCTACAATCTCGGATAATGAACGACCACCCGATCATACACGGCCGAGGTCACGCCAGAGGTTACTACCACTTAGATTTTCTCTTTTTCTCTATTTACATCCATGTGTGTGCGTGTGTGTATATGCACATAGGTGTGTGTATTCATAAATATATAAACTTCTTTTTCTACAGACACACACACATGCACAAACACACACACACACACACACACACATATATATATATATATATATATATATATATATATATATACTGACGGAAAATAACGTTGCAAACACCAGGAATATTAGTTTTCAAAGATAGACACATACACACACACATATATATATATATATATATATATATATATATATATATATATATATATATATATATATATACTGACGTAAAATAACGTTGCAAACACCAGGAATATTTGTTTCAAAGATAGACACACACACACACACACACACACACACACACATATATATATATATATATATATATATATATATATATATATATATATATATTGAACAATAAAAAAAAATATTAAAAAATTAATATTAAAAATTAAAATCTTTAGACACACTGGGTTGTAGATTAATATTCTTTCGTTTTTTTTTTTTTAATTATTATTTCATTTAGTTTCGTCGACCAAAATGGCCATCATCGGGAGGAGAAATATTTCTGCTTGCTGGTAGCAGTAAACTACAAATATATATATATATATATATATATATATATATATATATATATATATATATATATATATATATATATATATATATACTGACGGAAAATAACGTTGCAAACACCAGGATTGTTTGTTTCATAGACACACACACACACACACACACACACACACATATATATATATATATATATATATATATATATATATATATATATATAAACGCCCACCACGTGTTATATATATCCACAGGTTCAATTTCGGTGAAAACACTCACCGCCTTTCGACATACATGTGCCGATACATACTTCGGTCCCCAGATCGGTGGAATGGACATAAAAATAACAGATTGTCGTCAACTAGATCACCAGATATAACTCTTTTGATTTGCTTATTATTATTATTATTATTATTATTGTGCACCTAATAAAAGGTTCAAGAACTACTTAAGGTCGAGGATAGGGAAGAGGAATAGGTGCATAATATGAGGATAAGTAGGATATATATCGGTTAACTCTTAAGATTTGAAGAGATTAGGATTATAGTGGTTGGAGAAGCATCCTCTCAGGAGTTTGTTCCACAAAGTGACAATTTTGGGGTAAAAGCTCTCTGGGTGGAAAGTCCTCCACGCTTCAACCAAAATAATGTGAACTGTCGCAGGTAACAAGATGTCACATATGCTTCAAGATGCGTTTCGAAATGCTGCTGAACAGTTTAAGATGTACAGGGAAACGAACGATCGATATATCCTCTGTTAATAATTTAAGATTTGCTAATCTTTTATTCGATAATTATTATTTTTTTAAATAATTCCAACGTGTTTCATTAAAGTAAATAAAGTACTTTATTTAACGTTGTCAAAAGTTGTTCAGATTTTGAACTAATTTTTTTCTCTTGATTTTGGTATTTAAAGATAGAATCCGTAACCCCTTCTCTTACCTGTCCGGGTGGGTGAAGAGCGGGTTTTATGTGTGGTATTAACACTTTACCCCCACTTGGACGAGATGTGACACAAGGTCTTTTTTAGGTGGGGACCTGAGCGCGTACGCCCGGGACAAGGACAAAAATTGCCCACAGCCCCCGTCGGTTGACCTGGCCTTGGTGCGAGCACCGATCCCTCCTTTTGGTGCAATGAGAGGGCGCGGTCTCGGGCAGCTGTTCTCCAGGGCTAGGCACCTCTTCAGTATAATTTTCTCACTTGCCCTCTGTCCTTTGACAGAGAAGCCCCTGAGAGCACTCTGCTCAAAGACAGAGACGCAACTGAGAGGTGATAAGCCATGCGTTAGAAACTCCCCCAAGGAGGAATTTATACGTTGCAGATTTCATATGTTATTTCTCAATCTACTGCATCCTCCATTTATAACAATCCGATTAACCATATCCCCCTTGTATATCTCGCGCACACGAAGCTTCTTAACAATTCTTCTGTGAACTAAAATCTGCGAATTCTCATTTCTGCGAATGTTCCTGCTAGAAATCCGCTTCCTAACTAGAACCCCCGCCTCCCACATACAAACTGCTAGAAGTGCTACTTTCTCCCTAGAAATGTTTCATCCTCGATAGAAATGCCTCCTATTCGGCGAGATGAAGCGAAAAAAGCTCAAGTAAGCAAGCTAATCATTACAACGAAAAAATACATATATAAAAAAGAAAAAGAAAAGAAACAAAGGTCGGATAGAATCTGGTAAAACGTAAAATTTACTAACGACTTTTGCATCATTACAGCCCAGATGAAAAAAATAACCAACTGTAAATTAACACACAATCGTTAATATGAGAATAATTTTAAACTTTTTTTTTTGTTGCCTTGTGTTAACCTCTGTTTATCATCGTAAGGATTTTATTCCCAACGTTAATGTTCATGAGGAATATTTACCTTTAAATGTCATGTCTCTTTACAACGTAAGCGATCATGGCTCTCCACATTTTTTTTTTCTTAATTAGCTTTATTATTCGTGAATTGCATTGCCTTCTTGGGGTAGATAATAAAATGGTTTTCC